AAAGGTACAATTCCCAATGAGAAATGTAATTGTGTTGTATACCTACAATGTACCAATAAAAGAATTTAATAAAGTGCAAAAAACCCACAAAAACTAATAGTTGTATACATTGACAAGAGGAGGCAGAATTTTACTGTAAGTTATTTCTCAATGAACCTGACTAAAAAAAGAGAAATGGTAGGCAAGCCTGTTGTTGTATCATTAGAGATACTGTAACATGCAAGGTCCTTGCCGTCATCTATTTAGTAATATTTCTTTTTATCTGATGTCAGTTCTCTGGGTCATAGAACCCACCCTATCTCTGAATTAAGCTTATGTCTACCTGCAGCAAACCCTCCATTCAAGACAGAGTACCTAGAACAGAAAAGAGTTAAGACTTCACTGAGCTTACAGAAGCAGACTAAACTGTGTCTGACAATGGATGGTGTTCATTTGGAGTTTTTTGCTTTTTGAGGTTTGTTTTTTTTTTCAGAATAGATGTATGTGTGGTTGAATTTTTATGGCAATTTGGCTTTCATGACAACTTAAGCGGACTGTGGAGGTATAGCCAATCATTACCCCCATTAGACTTCTTTGGCAGTTATCAATTTCAACCAAAAGAACTTTAGAAATATAACTAAGACCTTTCAGCACAGAGATGCCCTTCTTCCTCAAGCTCACTCAAATATATTCTGAGATTCAGTATTTCCTTCTGTCATGAACCTTTCCTAACATACCATGACCAATTTCCATGGCACCCTGTGTAGATGGACTTTGAGTGAGATGCTGTCTCCTTTGTTCATTTTTTTTTTCTGGCTGCCCCTCTAAGTTATAGAGTTTTTAAGGGCACAAACTGTCTTATATCCTCAGAACCTAGCATGCTTTCTAACAAATTTGTAGATGTTCAGTATGTGATTTAAGTAGTAATTTAGCAGGAATACAAATAGTACTAATGATGACAGCGAACACTTTACTGTGCATTTTCCTTGTGGCAGTCACTGTGCTATACACTTTATATATAGTGGTTTCTCACTGTACTTCATGAGGTAGGAGGTATTACTATCCCCATTTCACAGATAGGAAAACTGAAGCACAGAAAGATAAAAGTAGCTTGCCTAAAGTCACACAGTCAGTAAATGTTGGAACTGGGAATCAGAACCACTAATCTCCCTCAAAAGCCTGTATTTTGTGGATCTGTGAATTCTGCCCTTTCATTCTCAACATCTGTTGAAAGATATAACGCTTTTTGTACTGTGCATATAATCCTGGCATTAGAAAGACCTTTAGAACTCATCCATTCCTTACCAGCACTGTATGGATAAACAAGCAAAGATCATATAACACACTTGCTCCAGATCACTCAGTTCTGTGGAAAAACTAAGATGGCTTTCTGATTGAAAACAGTTGGAAGGGTACATAAAAATCTATGAAGCCACTGATGCTTCAGATATTTTGGTGCTGTGTCACAGAAGATCATTATCTTCACCAGAGAGATTTATTGTTAACTATCTCTTTTTCAGAGTTCACTGTTTCCACTATCTCATCCCTCTAGCAAAAGAGGGGAACTATGCCATTGTTGCCAATGTGGAAAGCATGGATTATGACCCTCTGGTGGTCAAGCTCAACAAAGATATCAGTGCCATTGAAGAGGCTATGAGTGCCAGCCTTCAACAGCACAAGTTCCAGTATATCTTTGAAGGTCAGACCCTGTCCCTGTCTCTGGGAGTTTTGGGGGGAAAGAAGGGTGAAGGTTTTCCTAATTTTCTATTTTATTGATGTTCAGAACTTGTAGAAAAAAAGTCATTTGCTAAGTTTGGATTAAAGCTGCAATACCTAGCCTTGCTGTGTTTTACTAGGTAGATGATATGGCTGCCATCTGCTCCTGGTTGATAGGGAGATTTAATCCAAGATAATGCAGATGGCTGTCTGGCTGCCTACCTTGACAGGCCACTTCTGAGATTTGAATAAATACGCAGAATGGACTACAAATTAACTCAAGAGTTGCTCATTAAAGGAAAGAAAACACACATACAATAAGAGAACCCTGAAAAATATTTCATTAGGTAAAATTATCAATGGAAGGAGAAGTCTTCTCTCATAAAATTTATCTTGTCTAAAAAAAACAGAAGCCTATGGTTAGCAGCAATTTTTAGGAAGGCTACATCCATAAATGTTTCAGGCAAGAGCCATGCAGGGAAGGTGTGAAGAGGCAGTACTATCTAAAGATATCTGCCTTCAAAATTTTTTAAATTGTGGTGCTGGGCAAATAACTTTTCATGCTGAATTTCATTCATCGGACCCAGTCACTATAATAAACACCTGAGATAATTAACTTACAAAGATAAAGGGGTTATTTTGGCTCACAGTTTTAGAGGTTCTAACCCATGATCAGGCAAACACAATACCTTTAGGCTTCTCATAGGGGTGGGGAAGGTGATGTCAGGGAGCAAGTGGCAAAGCCAACTGTTCACCTCATGGCCAGGAAGCCAAAGGAAAGAGAAAAAGTCTGGGATCTCACATTTCCCCTGAAGGTTGGACCCTCGATGACCTGAGGACCTCCGACTAGACCCCACCACATGAGTTGCCAGCACCTCCCAACAGTGCCCACTTGAGAACCACCACTTGAGGGGAGGAGGGGCAATTATTTGAAGTATAGCAAACGCTTGTCAAGTTATATTCAATTATATTTCAAATTATATTCCCTTTGTATTTGGTTTGATTTGGTTAAACATAGACCTGAGTACCAAAAGTATCTTTTCTCACACAGAATTAAACCAGTTTTATTTAAGATAATTAAATACACTGTTTAAAGCTTGTAGCAAACGGATGGTGGTACAATGTCAGTGCATGGCCAAAGCTTACATTATGAAAAAGTTATGTCCCAGCGATTTTGGTCCCTCTAAAATCCTATTTTCCCATTCAGTTATAAAGATGAAGTCATAAAAATGGAGATGTGTTCTGAAAGAGATTTCAGTCAAAAAGTTAAGTGATTAAAGGGTTAGCGTTAGCTTGTGGCATTATGAATTTGGTGGCACCTTTAATTCTCTGCAGCTTAAAGCTGAAGTGTTCCCATGAAAAGCCACTTTTCCTTAACTACACAGAGCTTCCCCTTGGACCTTGGCTTTCCAAGCCCTACATAACAACATCCATATATTCATATGATAAAATTTATTTTTTTACAAGTTATGATTTCTTATTCTGTACAAACAGTACAATCACCTCATTGGCTATACTTTGGGCAGACCACATTATATCAGCACAGAGCAAATCTATACCTGAAGTCACAATATTGACACAGTAGAATAACAGCAGAACTTGACCTAGAAATATTTTTTATATAAATACAAGTAATCTAGCTTTAAATGTAGAATTCATAGTTGTGCTTCTTTTTCTTGACATAAAAGCCTCTTTCTTCATTTTAACTGGTACCACAGACAAGTTTGTGGTATTGAAGCAACATTGGGTGAATGTAGCTGAAGCAAAAGAGAGTGCATCTTCCTCTCCCTTTTCTGCTTTCATTTCAACCAAGGAGAAATATATTTTGTAAACAGAGGAAGCCAAAGAAGCTGAAGATGTGCCCTGCACTGCAGTCTGAACCATGAAGACTATGATTCCAGAAGAGAAAAATAGCAAAAAATAGTAGACTGCTTGTAACCTGTCATACTACCTTTAGCGTTCTAAATAAAATGTCCTCCTAGAGGCCAACTTTGGAAGAAGAAAAAATGAAGGAACATTTACCTATTTCCAAGTATATAGAGTTAACTCTAACTTTTAAAAATAATAACCCATATGTACTCACTTTTGAACCAGCATACTTCATTTTAGTTACATGGGACATCCTGAAGAAAACCTATTAGTTTGCTGATGTCCTGTGCCCCTCTCTGCCAATTTTTATAGACTCTACAGTGGTCCTTCAGATGGGAAAATAAACCACTTATAGAGCCACAGAAATGTCCAGAGATGTCTCATGGGAATTCAAAAGGTCACAATCTGCTTTTTCTTTACACTTTACTTTTTATTACATTATATTCTATTACCATTGCCAATGCATTATTGCCAGTAACTTTTTTACTGGTTGATTTTTACTTGTAAGTGTTGGGATTGGTTCGCATTACTGTCAGTGCCTCCATTTGTATTAATTTATTTTTACTTTTTAAGGTTCTTAATCAGCTTTTAAGCCAAAAGTATCCCCCTTTCTGTTATGTGGGAGGAAGGAGAAGCCATACAGATGTTTATACATATGTAATGCACAACAGGCCCAACAGATGTTCTTACATGTGTACTTTTCTGCTTCCCAGATATCTGTACATAAAGCCAAGAATTGCTATGCATGTTAATAGTTTATAACAACCCGGAATATTCTCTAAGCCCTTGGTATGGTAGCTTCAGGTGAATGTGACAATGCTAGAACTAGGGATGTAGTGGGGTTTGTTTACAGCACAAATTCTTCCCATTTCTAACCACTAGGTCCATGCAGAAATATTCTGAAATTATTGTGAGATGAACTGTTGCAGCCATCAGACAGGTTTTCTGTGGCCATTTAAATTTATGGCAGATGAAAAAAGAGTCATCCTGTGTGCAAGTTTCTGCCGGATGCCACTAATCTTCCCCGTCTTTCCTCCGCTTTATACTGTGCTGACCGTTCAGGCCTGGGACACCTCATCTCCTGTATCCTCATCAATGGTGCCCAGTACTTCAGGCGCATCAGTGAATCTGGCATCAAGAAAATGTGTAGAAACATTTTTGTTCTTCAGCAGAACTTGACCAACATCACCATGTCACGAGAAGCAGACTTGGACTTTGCAAGGTAAGAGGAAAGGTTGAACTAAGTTTCTTGTACCAAAGCTAGGACTCACTACCTGTAAAGCCATTTTAAATATTAGATTCTTAGTATTTTAAAAGCCTATTTTAAAAAAAAGAGTAAGAGATAGATATTCTTAGCTGATAGAAAATTTAATTCTACAAAATTCTGTTGAATGTTTAACATCCCTTAAGGAAATAGTTACTCCATCTGTCTAATCTAAGTTCTTCTTATTACCAAGCTTTTGTGACTTTTTTTCTGAATATAAAAGTAATACAGTCTTATTACATAAAATACTAAGATAATATAAAAAGATGAATCTAAACATTGCTGATAAGCCTTTGATTTAGAAACTATGATTTTTTTAGTGTACTTTATCCTGGCTTTTGGTGCATGTTGGTATATATATGTGTCTTTTTACATGTATCCATGCATATTTCTATTAATAAAATTGGAACTGTGTTAGTATAATTTTAATTGCATTTTCTCATATCTATAATGTTCATTAATACTGCTTGAAAACATTCCTTTTAATGCCTGAACAAATATTCCATGGTATAATGGAGTCATTATTTATTTTTTAACCATTTGTAATAGTTTCCTTTGTTTTTTTTTCTTAGTGGTAGATAACAAGAACCCATTTTTGTCACCTCTTCTGTCTTGTTCCCATTGAAACCAATCTCTTCTTGTTGTTTCCACTGGGAGAAAAATGGCTCTTCATCACCTCTCCTTCCCTTTTCTAGGTTTGCTGATCTCAATTTTTAATGTTTTTCTCATAAGACACTTTTTCAAACTTGAAAGTTAATTTTGTTTGCTCTTCATTTGGTCTTTAACACTGTTTATATTTCAAATAATCAGATCTTTAATGAAAGTTTAAACAGCTTTGAAGAGGGTGGGTGATAATAGCAGCTCTGTTGCTGTTTATACATAGGTAGATTATTCCATAAACCTTTTCATTTTCCAGAAGCTTTTGTGGCTGGGAAGTCATTTGTCTGTGATTGTCCAGAGTGCTTCTGCCTATTTATTACTCTGTGTCTTTTCATTTGATTTTTTGATTCTTGAAATGTTCAGGAAAATTGAAGCAATTATTGAGGTATTTAATGATATGATAAATATTCTGTTACTTTGACACTATGAAGATGTACATTTGAGAATCTTTGTTTTGAAAATGAACCACTTATGTTCATTTTAAATGTTTTTTGTTCCCCACACTACTATTCCATTTGTTGTGCTGCTACCTTGTTCCTTTGCTTTTTTGCCCTTCTGCTTCCCTGATTTTTTTCTTTTACTTGCAGGAAAGTGTGTGTGTGTGTGTGTGTGTGTGTGTATAATTTTTATGAAATTCTGTGTTTTAAGCTAAATTTGGTGGAAAGTCTTCCTTGCTCAGATTAAGGAAACCAGGTGTGACTGAATGCTGCATTTATTTGCCTTCTCTTATGGGAAATGATCTCATTATTGAATTAGTCTATTCATAATAACATTGACAAGAGGAAGTTAAGAACATGAAGGCCTGAGGGATATAGAGAACCATTACTAATTCTCTGAGGAGTATAATTCCTAAATTCAATCATCCTTTTTTAAATGATTTTTTTATTTAGCTAAAATAAATAAATTAATACAGTGCTTGGCAGACAGTACAGGGCTCAAACACATACTGGGAAAGCTGCATCTGAATCATGAAATGCTGACTGGGCAATATTGAGACTGGCATTAGTGGGCCACATTCCAGTGAACCGTTTGTTCAGGACAAGATTGACTGGCAACCCAGTCATGACTTCTCATAGTTGGATTTGTGAATTATGTCTGAGGAAGTAGGCAAAAGCTGAATGTGACCACTTGGGAAAGACTTACACTATTACTCTTCTTAATGAATTATGAAAGGAAACAAGCTAGGATAAACATATAGTATTGAAACATTATGCCCTTCCAATCCTGGTTTAGAAGACATCTTCTTACTAGATGGTAAGCTCTATCTAGATGGTAAGCTTCAAGAGACTAGAACTGTTATTTCAGTTCTTGAATCAGAAAAAATTATTGTTATGTGTATGGGATGAATATTGATGTCAAATCAAGGCTTACTTTGGTGCTTTTGAAGGGCTTGGATATTGACAGGTTAGTTTATCTTTAATACCCTGAAAGTCTTAACCAGCTGACATAGCAGTTTTCTTATAGGGTTATTTTTTTTAAAAAAGCATCTCCATTATAGTTTTTTTTAAGCAGCAAAAAGCATCTCCATTCTTTTTTTTTAAGCAGAAAGCATTGCAAAAAGTAATAATGTAGCCCTCCTAGTCATAGTCCCTTTCTCATTTTCTCTTGCTTTAATACAACACACTTTATAGCCTAATTTTTTTCCTTCCTTGTTTTTGGTAGAGACAGGTTTTGTGAAATGGGCTCCATCAATTGTATGGAATTTGAAACTATGTAAAATAAATATAACAGCAATACCAAAATAGCTAGAAATAATAGACTGCTGCAGTGTGCCTCAGCATTCCTTAACCAATGTCTAATCAGGCATGGACAGCATCTGTATTTCCAACAAATCTCTATAGGAATGTTATCTTCTAACACAGTAATTAATCACTGGTTGCCATGTGTCAGAAAACTTATTTAACAAGAAGTTACACAGTAGTTGCAGTTTTTTACTTTCATAGCCTTCCTGGCCAGTAGAAAGCATGACATTTTTCTGTACTAAAGAATGTGAGATCTGGAGTAATTCCATTTATGTTGAATCTTCTGGTGGTGGTATTGTTGTCAATCTCTTTCATACACACCTGTACTCTAATCTCTAATGGGAGAGTAAATCTTGGGTGAGCAAAAGATAAGACATCCTATAACCTTACCAGAATGATGAAGAGCCCATCCTTTGTGATAATAATCACTTGAGCTCTGCCATGGTTTTGACCTTTTTGACCCCATTGTTGATTTTCAAAACCAAAAAGATACTTTGTCCAAGAAAAAATGCTGTAGATTAGCTAGAAAGAAGAAGGGCTTCCTAAGTATACTTTTTTTGCTTCTTTCTTCACAAGTCATCTTAATTTGAACTCCCATGTGCAATTCCGTATTACAAGAAAGGTCTGAATGGGTGCTGAAGTTCCCAGCATAAATCTGGTAATCTTTGTAGAAGAAATGAAGTCATTATTCAAAAAGAGCATCCCAGAGTTAGTTTTTTTCCCCCTCGTTCTCCCTTCTCTCTTCATTTCTCCCATTACAGTGACCTCTTATTCTCCCTGTATCCTATCATTCTGCTTCCTGCTCTCCTCCTTCAAACTTTCATTGCTCTTTGATTTTTAACCCCCTTTTGGATTTTCTTTCTTTCTTTTTTTCTTTCTTTCTTTCTCTTGTTCGTTCATTCTTTTGTTCTTCCTTTCTTTCCTTCGTTCCTTTTTTCTTCCTTTTTGTGGTGTTAGAGATTGAACCCACAAGCACTGAGCTACATCCCCAGCCCTTTATGTATTTTGAGTCAAGGTCTCACTAAGTTGTCCAGGCTGGCCTCAAACTTATGGTGCTTCTGCCTCAGCCTCTCAAGTAGCTGGAATTACAAGTATATAGCACCACATTAGCTCATTCTAAGTTTCTTTAGGTTGTTATCTCTCACTCTTAATTCTGAAAAGATTAGGAAATATAAGCTAAGGTTTAGCAACTATTAAGGAAACAAGCTCTAACACACAAGAAAGCTTTGATAAACCTTTTATTTCTTCCTTCGTTCAACTGATTCAGTACTTCTTGGGAGTGTGTGCTCTCTAGGTTCAGCCCTCATGGTACTTGTGTTGTTCTGGGATGAGATACAAGCTAATAAACAGTAAATATGTAAAATGCAAAATGTGATGATATATTCTATGATGAAAAACTAGGCATGAAGAAGAGAATAGAAAATGCCAGGGTATAATGGAAGTAATCTGAAATTTTAGTGTGTTCATGGAAATTATGAATGAGAGGGTAACATTTGAGCAAAAACAAGAATGGGAAAAAGACATGAGGATATCTAGGGAAAGAACAGACTAAATAAGGGACTCTCAGGGTGAAGCTCTAGAGGAGGGAATTTGCTTGACACTTGGAAACAGTAGAAAGGCCTCCATGAATGAAGTGACCAAGGAAAAGAGTAAGAGGTGATGTCAGACATTTAATCTAAGGAGCTGAGATCTCAAAGGCCGTTGTAATGACACTGGCTTTTGCTTTGAGTTAGATAGGAAGCTATTAGGGTTTGACACTGAAGCGTACCATAATCTGAATCTCTGGTTGCTATGTTAAAAAAATGGATAATTAGGGAGGAGAGGTTATAGACAAGGTCAGAAACAGAAGGGTCTGTTATAAAACTATGGCAGTAGTCTTCTAGCTGAAAGATAGTAGTGGTTCAAACCAAGATGACAGCAGTGAAAACAATGAAAAGGAGATCGTGTTCAGGGAGATGGATCTTTCTCAAATGGCAAGGGGAACAAGAGATGGGATGGGCAAGTGGGAGGGGAGGGAAAGGGGATCTAAAAAGAAATTAAGATGTATTGTGTACGTGTACCAGTAGCTCCATACAAGGAATGTAAACGTTGTGTATATTGCAAACATATGCAAAAAAGAAAAGGAAGGGCATCAAGAGATGGATGGAAGGAAGAGGGGGATGAAGAATGGAATTCAGAGATATTATGTACATGTTCCACTTTCCCACAAGGAATGTAAACATTATGTACTACAAGGAAGGAAGGAAGGAAGGAAGGAAGGAAGGAGAGAGAGAGAGGGAGAGAAAGAAAAAAGAAAAGAAAAGAAACAAATTTACAGGGTTTGTTTAGGGATTAGGAGTACAGCAGCAATGGTTGTGAGCAATTCCAGGGTTTTTCTGCTGAACAGTGTAGAGCTTTTGTGTACTGAAATGAAAATGAACCAGACTATGGGTGAAGCCAGTTGAGTACTTGGAAGGCAGGAGGCAGATACTGACGGGATATCAAGAGGTTGGGTTTCGAATGTTAAGTTTGATATGCTTATTAGTCATCAATATAGAAACAGTATGGAGAGGACTG